AAAAGAATCACATGATCATCTCAATGCAGAAAAGGCATTTGATAAAGCCCAACACCCATTCCTGATAAAAACTCTCAATAAAATAGGAATAGAGGGGAAATTCCTCAACACAATAAAGGGCATCTATACAAAACCAACAGCCAACCTCATTCTTAATGGAGAGAGGCTGAAAACTTTCGCTTCTGAGAACAGGAACAAGACAATGATGCTTTTTATCACCACTCTTATTTAAAACTATGCTGGAAGTCCTAGCTACAGCAATAAGACAAGAAAAAGAAATGAAGGGCATCCAAGTTGGTAAGGAAGAAGTAAAACTATCCTTATTCACAGATTATATGCTACTATACATAGAGAACCCTAAAGACTCCACAAGAAAACTACTGACTCTAATAGAAAGATTCATCAGAGTAGCAGCATAGATCAACATACAAAAATCAGTTATATTCCTATACTTCAAAAAAGAGAACTATGAAAAGGAAATCAGAAAAGCAATACCATTTATAATAGCCCCCCCAAAAATAAAACACTTAGGAATAAATACAACCAGGGATGTAAAAGACCTATACTAAGAAAACTAGAAAACACTACCGCAAGAAACCAAAACAGACATAAATGGAAAAACATACCATGCTCATGTACAAGTAGATTCAACATTGTGAAAATGTCAGTTCTACCCAAAGATACCTAGAAATACAGTGGAATGCCTATCTGAATACCAACAGCATTCTTTAACGAGATGGAAAAACTAATCATTAAATTAATATGGAAAGGAAAGAGGCTCCAAATAAGTAAAATACTATTGAAGAAGAAGAATAAAGTAGGAGGCCTAGCACTACCTGATCTCAGAATCTACTATACAACTGCGGTAGTCAAAACAGCCTGATACTGGTACTACGACAGACACATTGATCAGTGGAACAGAATCCAGAACCCAGATGTAAATCTATCTATCTACTGCCAGCTGATCTTTGACAAAGTCTCAGGAAAAGTTCATTAAATGGGAAAAAGACTGTCTTTTTAGAAATGTGCTGGGAAAACTAGATGTCCATCTGTAAAAAAATGAAACAGGACCCATACATCACACCATACACAAAAACTAATTCAAAATGGATCAAAGACCTAAATATGAAACAAAAAACTATAAAGTTCATGGATGAAAAAAATAGAGTCCACATTAGGGGCCTTAATATATGGCACAAACAACATACAAACCATAATTAACAATACACAAACACCAGAAGATAAACTAGATAAATGGATTTTCTAAAAATTAAACACTTATGCTCACCAAAAGACTTCATCAAAAGAGAACCTACAGACTGGGAAAAAAAAAATTGTGACTGTGACATATCCGACAAAGGTCTAGCTCTAAAATCTGTAGGAAAATCCAACACATCTACAATAAAAAGACAAATAATCCAATTAAAAAATGTTTAATGAGAAACTATTCCGTAAACCTCCATCTAAAGTGAGAATAGCAGCACAACTGGAAGAAAGTAATCGATGTCACTGAATTGTGCATGTAGAAATTTTTGAAATGGTGTATCTTTGGCTAGTATTCTCTGCAATATGCAGTCACGATCTGTTTCTAATAAGCGGGACCAGGGTGTGAGTTCAGTTAGTCCCGCCTGGTCCAGCCAGGCTGGTGGTGGGCTCTTCGCCCCACTCAGGGGCCTGGGGTGTGAATGGTGGTGCTAACCTCGTTATGAGCCCACGCACAACTGGGACTCCTGTGCCAGCAGACAGGTCAGGGCTACCAGGGAGGACCAGCCGTGAACCACGCTGATCGGCCTGTCCTGGACGTGGTGGCCCAGGTGGGAGCAGACTTGTTGGGGTGGGCTTCTTCAGGACACCGATTCCTCCTAAAGCACCATCTCCACACATTCACATCCCATTCCTCACCTCGTTTACGTGCAAGTTTACCCAGACCTGGGAAATTTGATGACATCGGTGCCATATCTAGACTTTCCAGAAATATTTGGATTTTTAATCTGAGAATTAATGAAGATCTGATTGTGTCAAGGGCAGCTACCATTTGGAACTGGGAAAATAAAAATGCTACCAAAATTGTTAGTACAGCCACATGGCTGGCCAGGTGACAGATGAGTGTGTAAATATACCTGTTTACAATGTACAAACCTAAAAAAAGATTCAACCTACATATTTAGTCCTACCCACCTGTCTCAGCTGGCCAGCTCCCCCTGCAGCACCCAGCCACACAGATTCCTGTCTCCGATTCTGCCCCTGCTTCTTAGCCCCCGATTTCATGTCATTTCCCCTCTCATGTGCAGAGCAATTTAGCTGCGCTGGTTTCTGCTCCCTGTAATGACAGTTAAAAAGCAGATAAGTGGGATGATAATGAGTCCCCAGTATGCACAATATGCTCTGCCTGTTGCTAATTTTCACTGGGCTGTTCCGGATGAGTATTCCAGATGAAGGATGGGGAGACTTCATTTACTTCAGACGTGTCATCAGGAGAGACCAATACCTGGAGAAGGACATCATGCTTGGTAGAGGGTCAGCGAAAAAGAGGAAGCCCCTTGTTATAGATAGAATTGTGGCCTCCCCCAAATAATGTGTTGTAAATCCTAACCTCAATGCCCACGGTTATAATCCCATGTGGGAATGGGTTGTCTTTGTTGTGTTAGTGAGACAGGATTAGTGTAGGGTGTGTCTTGAGTCAATCTCTTTTGAGATATAAAAGATTAAACAAGCAACTGAAAGCAGAGGTGTGAGAAGACAGATGCCAAGACCCTTGAAGATAGCTGAGGAGCAGAAAGCTCAGAGACAAGGACCTTCTCCCAGAGCTGACACCCTGAATTCAGACTTCTAGCCTCTAAACTGTGAGAAAATCAATTTGTTTGTTAAAGCCACCCATTTGTGGTATTTCTTTTATGGCAGCACTAGATAATTAAGACCTGTCAACGAGATGAAGTGCTGCAATGAACAGGCTGAAACAAAGCAGTGATTGTGAAGATGACTCAGGACTCGGTAATGCTTCGTTCTTTCATACACAAGGTCGCTATATACACAAGGTTGCTGTGAGTTGAAACTGACTTGATGGCACCTAACTACAATTCCAGATGAAAAGTCCTACATATATAATTATTTATTCATTCAACAAGCATTTACTGAGGAAATGCTTTGTTAGGCACTGGGATACAAAAATAAAAAAAGGGGTTCTCTTCTTTAGAAGCTAATAGTCCAGTATACAATGGATTGCCCTCTCTCTCCTTTTCTTCAGTCTTTTGGAAACCAATCTTTTGTACCACTGGATTGGGAGAGGATCTTAAGTCTTCCATCACTGATTAAATAATAAAAGGATTGAAAAGTAAAGTGCAAAGTAGAGTAAGAAGTGAAGACTTCCTCCATTTCTTGGTGCGTTGCCTCTAAGAAACTGTTCTCTTGGCTGTTTGTGAACTTCTACTCAGCTCAGACACCACTTTCTCAGACCGCCCAGCTGGGCTGCTCTAAGGTTGTCTCCTCCCTGTCCCAACAGTGTGTGTATTTTTATCATTACACATGCCAAAGTAGCTCAAGAAGGGGAAAAAGAAAGAGTAGACCACATTATTTTTGGTATAGCTCCTAGGTTCAAGGATTTCATTTCTCCTATTATCTTGTAAAAAAAAAACCGGATAAAAATGAATTTTGGCACATGCACATAGCCTTGCCCATTACATCTGGACAGGCTGTGCAGCCCCTAGGGGCCCAGCAGTTATCCTGCCCACATAGGTTCCCATTTGTACCATTGTCCCTGCCATGGCTGAGGGCCTGGGGAATGACACTGAGCTGAAGGCCTGGGAGAGGCTCTACTGGCGGGGGCTGGGCTGGATGTATGTGTGTGGGCAAACACAGCCTTTCCTTAGGGAGTTGGCATGTGGAGAGTAGAGTGATGGAGAAACAGGATGTATCTAGAAGCATGAGGCTGGATGCCCAGAGGCCAGGTTTTGAGCATAGTGGGCTCTAGACTGGTGGACAGTGGATGGTGCTGCAGTGGCCGAATGGATGCCGGAGCCACTATACAACTGATAGTATGATGCAGATCCTAACATTCAGTCCCCATGAGGCTTCCTGGGTCTCAACTTCCCTAAGGAATCTTATATAAATTCATTGTCAACAGAGGTAATCTAAACAGCTGAGTCAAAAGAAAAAAATTATATTAATACACTGGAAAGGGAAACCCTCAGAAAAAGAAGCATTTTAATTAAAATCTTCTGAGGTTCTCCACGTAATAGAGAAACAGGCTGTAGAACCCAGAACGACTTAACCTATCAAAAAGGAAACATTTACTGGGTGCTGTGGAGTACCCTGCACCCCCAATATTACAAGACCTATTTTCACAGGTAAGAAAGCCCAGGAAGAGATGACTCAGCTAAATGGCAGATTATGTGTAAACAGCGACTAGTGTATAGTAGTAGGTAATCAAAAAATGAAAACTGTGATTTTTTTCTTTCATACTAAAATTCTTTTGAGATGGGGAAATGATTTTGGATTACCTGGGTGGGCCCAATGTAATCAAAAGGTCTTTGTAAGTGAAAGAGGAAGGCAGGAGAGTAATGGGGTCAGAGTCAGGGAGAGACTGACAGATGCCACACTGCCAGCTTTGAAGATGGTGGACAGGGCCATGAGCCAAGAAATACTGGCAGCCTCCAGAAGCTGAAGGTATCAGATTCTACACTACAGCCTCCAGAAGAAACCAGCCCTGCCAACACCTTGATTTTAGCCCAGTGAGACTGATTTTGGACGTCTGACCTCAAAACTATAATACATTTTTGTTGTTTTAAGCCACTAAGTTTGTGGTAATTTGCTACAGCAACCACAGAAAACTAACAGTCTGAGTTAAAAAAAAAAAAAAAGATATGCTTTAGATAAAATTACTTAAGTATTTTATTATACAAAATTTACATCTGTGATATATGATGAAAAGTATGGCAGACATGAACTTTTATTAATCTTTTTTCCTTTGAGATTTTCTATGATAAATAAACACCTGTTTCCTAATACATTCTCAGATAGTACAAATTTCTGTACAGAACGTTTAACAGCTGTCCTGGTGCTAAGTATCCTGAGACACATGGTATAAAACCAAAACAGATCAGAAGAGGGCAGGGGGAAGACCACTGCCAAAGAGTAGTCTCCAAGAACTTGGTATTTTCCATGGCAAGGCAGACACTGTGGAGTCATCCATCTGTAATTTAAAAACAAAATATATTAATCTTTAAATTTTAAAATCAAATTGCCTTTTAACACACAAGTATTATAAAAGTCTTCCTTCTCTAGCTTTTTTTTTTGTGTGTGTGTGTGTGTGTGTTCCTTTTGGTTCTGGCACTTTTAGTTTCACTGGTAAGAAAAAACAAAGTGATAAATTTCTGTGTCTTCATGCTAACATAAAATACATTTCCTCAAGTTCCAAATCATAAAGATATGCCACATGGGGCTGCAGATGGAGTCTGTTAAGTAAAATCAAATTCAAAATGAAGAGGGTTTAAAAAAAAAAAATTACTATGTTGTGTGGCTTGTATCTATTTATTCTCCGCCAAGACACAGATTAAAAAGGCAGTTGACACATGGCAGCCTTCTGGTGCTTGTCATGCCTAAAGGCTAACTGACTTCCTGGGGTGGGTGCTGTTACAACAGAGGAAAGTATCTTAATCATGATGCATGTTTAACAGCTAAAACACTGCTCACGTAAGCAACGCCTTCCACTTCAACTAAAAAAAAGAAAAAATCAAGAACTCCAAAGAGGATTTGTTTATTTTATAAGAATTTGTCTGGTATAATTAATGGAACATGAACAATGAAGGACTTCAGATTTTCCTTTTTTAGAAGTAGTACCAGCCTTAATGAAATGAGAGACTGGTCTACTGTCCTCATTTTCTTTTCAAACGTTCAGCTTAAATTAAATTTTAAGTAAAGATATGTCTGTATTTAACATCAACTTCACTTACTTGGTCTACTTATATAGGATAAAAAATGCAAGTTGATGAAGACATCATCAAATCAGAGGGTTAAACAATAGCAAAACAATAGTAACAATAAAAAAACTTACACATGGTTTAATGATCTGAAGCCATTCATTAAGATACTCAACAAGACCTAATGCATCTGGGATATTGTCTCCTTCGGATACAAATTTCAGCAGAACCGCCATAGGGATTTCTCTACAACAGCTACAACAAACAAAAGAAATAATTGAGTATTCTCCCACTGATACAAGATGCAGGTTTTAGTGAGTACTTGCCAGGTTTTAAGCAAGAAGACAACATTCCTAAAATCACTATTTCTCTCCCTTTGCCACAGATCTACTCTTCTATCTGTGGGGACAGGGTGAGGAGCCCTGTGGCACCGCCTGTGCCTCACATCCCGGCTTCATGAAAACCACCCTCCGTCCTTGGTTGTGGTGTGTGAGGCAGGTTCTGACTTATGCCCACACCTACTTCAGAAGATAAGTGATTTTCTGGAGCATCACAGCAAATTGAGTGAAAGAGCTCAAGAGCCTTGTTATTAATCATCTAAAGCAGTGAAGGAAAACTGGAAGAGAATGGAACAGTCAGAGGCCGAAAAAACAACTGCTTCTTACAAACACTGTATATTCAGTGGTTATTAAGTGCTAAGTACTGTCTGCATATTTTATGATTAAATCCTTTTTTTAAAAACATTTCTCATACAAAAATTTATATATTGTTGTGTGACACTAGCTGCAATCCCCACAATGTGACAGCACACTCCCTCTTTCCACCCCGGGTTTCCTGGGTCCGTCCAACCAACTCCTGCCCCTCTCTGCCTTCTCATCCTGCTTCCGGACAAAAGCTGCCATTTGGTCTCGTGTATATGCTTGAACTAAGTAAGAGGCACACTCTTCACGAATATAATTTTATGTTTCATAGTCCAGTCTAATCTTTGTCTGAAGAGTGGGCTTCGGGAATGGTTTTAGCGCTGCGTTAACAGAGCATCCAGGGGCCATGGCTTCGAGGGTTCCTCCAGTCCCAGTCAGACGATTAAGTCTGGTCTTTTTACGTGAATTTGAGTTCTGCACCACCCTTTTCTCCTGCTCCATCAGGGACTCTCTGTTGTGTTCCCTGTCAGGGCGGTCATTGGTGGTAGCCGGCACCATCTAGTTCTTCTGGTCTCAGGCTGATGGAGTCTCTGGTTTATGTGGCCCTTTTGTCTCTTGGGCTAATATTTTCCCTATGTCTTTAGTGTTCGTCATTCTCCTTTGCTCCACGTGCATTGGGACCAACTGATGCATCTTAGATGGCCACTCGCAAGCTTTTAAGACCCCAGATGCCACTCACCAAAGTGGAATGCAGAACATTTTCTTAACAAACTTTGTTATGCCAATTGACCTAGATGTTCCCCAAAACTATGGTCCCCAAAGCCCCAGCCCCTCTGTCCCCTGAAGTGTTTGGCTGTGTTCAGGAAACTTCTTAGCTTTTGTTTTAGTCCAGTTGTGCTGACTTTCCCCGTATTGTGTTGTTCTTCCCTTCACCTAAGATGATTCTTGTCTATTATCTAGTTAGTGAATTCCACTCTCCCTCCCTCCTCACCCTTGCAACCATCAAAGTTTTCTTCTGTGTTTAAATCTTGAGTTTTTAATAATAGTGATCTCATACAATATTAGTCCTTTTGCAACTAATTTCACTCAGCATAATGCCCTCCAGATTCACCCATGTTGTGAGATGTTTTGCGGATTCATCACTTTTCTTTATTGTTGCACAGTATTCTATTGTGTGTATGTACCATAATTTGTTTATCCATTGTCTGCTGATGGGCACCTAGGTGGTTTCCATCTTTCTGCTATTGTGAACAGTGCTGCAATGAACATGGGTGTGCACATATCTATTTATGTGACGGCTCTTATTTCTCTAGGATATATTCCAAGGAGTGGGACTGCTGGATCGTATGGTACTTCTATTTCTAGCTTTTTAAGAAAGTGTCAAATCAATTTCCAAAGTGGCTGTACCATTTTACATTTCCACCACCAGTAAGTGTTTCAGTCTCTCCACAACCTCTCCAGTATTTATTATTTTGTGTTTTTTGGATTTGTGCTAGCCTTGTTGGGGTGAGATGGTATCTAATTGTAGTTTTGATTTGCATTTCTCTAACGGCTGATGATGGTTGAGCATTTCCTCACACGTCTGTAGCTGCCTGAATGTCTTCTTTGGTGAAGCCTTTGTTCATATCCTTTGTCCATTTTTTAATTGGGTTATTTGTCTTTCTGTTGTTGAGGGTTTGCAGTATCTTGCAGATTTTAGAGATTAGACCCTTATGAGATATATGGTAGTCAAAAAATTTTTCCCAGACTGTAGGTTCTCTTTTTACTCTTGGTAAAGTCTTTTGATGAGCATAGGTGTTTGATTTTTAGGAGCTTCCAGTTATCCAGTTTTTCTTCTGGTGTTTGTGCATTGTTAGTTATGGTTTATATTCTGTTTATGCCAAGTATTACAGCTCCTAGCATTGTCCCTATTTTTTCTTCCATGATCTTTATTGTTTTAGATTTTATATTTAGGTCTTTGATTCATTCTGAGTTAATTTTTGAACATAGTGTGAGGTATCAGTCTTGTTTCATTTTTTTGGAGATGGATATCCAGTTATGTCAGCACCATTTGTTAAAGAGACTGTCTTTTCCCATTTAACGGACTTCCCCATTTAACAGACTTTGGGCCTCTATCAAATATCAGCTGCTCATAGGCAGATGAATTTACATCTGGATTCTCAATTCTGTTCCACCGGTCAATGTATCTGTTGTTGTACCAGTACCAGGCTATTCTGACTACCGTGGTCCTTACAACAATTCTTGAGGAAGCTATAATTATCTCCATTTTACAAATGTATCAGTTTGGAATAATGCTAACGAGGACACATTATAGGCATACATTATTTTATTGCGCTTTGCTTCACTGTGCTTTGCAGATACTGTGTTTTTTACAAATTGAACGTTTGTGGCAACCCTGAGTCGACCAAGTCTATCAGCACCATTTTTCCAATAGCACATGCTCACTTCATGTCCCTGTGTCACATTTTGGTAATTCTCACAATATTTCAAACATTTTCATTATTACTGTATCTGTTATGGTGATCTGTGATCAGTGATCTTTGATGTTACTATTGTAACTGTTTTGGAGCGCCACGAACCATGTCCACATAAGATGGCGAACTTAACTGATAAACTTGAGTGTTTTGACTGCTCTGCTGACCAGCCGTTCTCCCGTCTCTCTCCCTCTCCTCGGGCCTCTCATTCCCTGAGACAAGACAATACTGACACTAGGCCAATTAATAACCCTATTAATGGCCCCTAAGTGTTCAACTGAAAGGCAGAGTTGCACATCTCTCACTTTAAATCAAAAGCTAAAAATGATTAAGCTTAGTGAGAAAAGCATGTCAAAAGCTGACATAGGTCAAAAGCTAGGCCTCTTGGGCCAAACAGTTAGCCAAGATGTGAATCAAAGGAAAAGTTCTTGAAGGAAACTAAAAGTGCTACTCCAGTGAACGGTAAGAAAGCGAAATAGCCTTATTGCTGAGATGGAGAAAGTTTCAGTGTTCTGGATAGAAGAGCAAACCAGCCACAACATTCCCTTAAGCCAAAGCCTAATCCAGAGCAAGGCCCTAACTCTCTTCAATTTTATGAAGGCTGAAAGAGGTGAAGCTGCAGAAGAAAAGTGTGAAGCTAGAAGAGGTTGGTTCATGAGATTTAAGGAAAGAAGGTGTCTCCATAACATAAAATTGCAAAGTGAAGCAGTACGTGCTGCTGAAGCTATAGCAAGTTACCCAGAAGATCTAGCTAAGATAACTGATAAAGGTGGCTACACTAAACAATAGATTTTCAATATAGACAAAATAGCCTTATATTGGAAGAAGATGCCATCTAGGACTTTGATAGCTAGAGAGAAGTCATTGCCTAGTTTCAAAGCTTCAAAGGGAAGGCTGACTCTCGTTAGGGGCTAATGCAGCTGGTGACTTTAAGTTGAAGCCAATGTTCACTTACCATTCCAAAAATCCTAGGGCCCTTGAGAATTATGCTAAATCTACTCTGCCTGTGCTCTCTAAATGGAACAACAAAGCCTGGATGAGAGCACATCTGTTTACAACATGGATTGCTGAATATTTTAAGCCCACTGTTGAGACCTACTGCTCAGAAAAAAAGATTTCTTTCAAAATATCATTGCTCACTGACAATGCACCTGGTCATCCAAAAGCTCTGATGGAGATGTACAAAGAAATTAATGTTGTTTTTATGCCTGCTAACACAACACCCATTCTACAGCCTATGGATCAAGGAGTAATTTTGACTTTCAAGTCTTTACTATTTAAGAAATACATTTCATAACGCTACAGCTGTCACAGATAGTGGTTTTTCTGATGGATCTGGGCAAAGTAAACTGAAAACCTTCCAGAAAGGATTCACCATTGTAGATGCCATTAAGAACATTTGTGATTCATGGGAGGAGGTCAAAATATCAACATTAACAGGAGTTTGGAAGAAGTTGATTCCAACTCTCAAGGATTACTTTGAGGGGTTCAAGACTTCAGTGGAGAAAGTAACTGCAGATGTGGTAGAAATACCAAAAGAACTAGAATTAGAAGCCGAGCCTGAAGATGTGACTGAATCGCTGCAATCTCATGATAAAACGTTTAATGGCTGAGGAGTTGCTTCTTATGGATGAGCAAAGAAAGTGGTCTCTTGAGATGGAGCGTGCTCCTGTTGAACATGCTGTCAACATTATTGAAATGACAACAAAGAGTTTAAAATACTACATAAACTTAGTTGATAAAGCAGCAGCAGCGTTTGAGAGGACTGATTCCAATTTGAAAGAAGTTCTACTGTGGGTAAAATGCTATCAAACCGCATCGCATGCTGCAGAGAAATCTTTTGTGAAAGGAAGAGTCAACCAATGTGACAAACTTCACTGTTGTCTTATTTTAAGAAATTGCCACAGTCACTCCAACCTTCAACCACCACCACCCTTGATCAGTCAGCAGCCATCAACATCAAGGCAAGGCACTCCACCAGCAAAAAGATTATGACTCGCTGAAGACTCAGATGATGACTGGCATTTTTGAGCAATGAAGTATTTTTTAATTAAGGTGTGTACTTTTTTTTTTTTTAGACATAATGCAATAGCACACTTAACAGACTACAGTATAGCGTAAACATAACTTTTACATGCACTGGGAAACCGAAAAACTTGTGTGACTTGTTTTACTGTGGTGGT